TGTACAAAGTGTTCTCGAAATGGTAAGCGCCCTGATCTAACAAGGCAGAAATATCCGATGATATAAAACTTGTATGAAGGACTTATAGCGCGAAATCAAAGTATGCAGTTGAAATGTGCAGTTCATTAACAAGAGTGTCAGTGAGAAGTGTTTATCGTGTGTAATAAGGAGTCGCAAAGAATACTTGACTGCGAAACTAGACCAGGACGGATCTGTTTTGAGGTGGATTTGAGCGGGGACAAGTAATTTTTTTCTGGATTACCTTCAGTACAACTCACATAATAAAAGTGTAGATCCCTAGATCTCGGAGAGGTCCGGAACATTTTCAAAATTACAAAAATGTCTGGTGTCTATAAACTGTTTAAAGTAAATATTCATCGTGAACTTATTTTTTATAATTTTCCGTTCTTTGGCCCCTTCTCAAGTAGTACGCCTATGGAATCTTGTCCCCTGCACCCCTCACCTCCCTCCCTCTAAGTGCTGGACATGAATCACTGCTCATTAGTATGGTACACGAGTATAGTGTGTATTTCTACATAAAATATTATGAACGCGCGTTTCTTCAGTTTACATTTCAAAATGTTGAATTTCCAGCTACCAATTTCTGTCCTGTCGATGTAGGCATGCAAAACACAAGACCAAAGTCGATCATTGCAAAGAAAGAAATTCCTTTTTTTACGATAAAAATCGTGTAAACGGTAAAACCGCTAATTTCTTCACTTGTTACACTGTTTAATTAATCGGTATTTTTAAGTAATTGTTAACCAACTAAAGAACGGTTACCCAATATTGATTTCGCGAATAATACAACAAGCATTAGGCTCGATGATGATGTGATGATGATGTCAGGTTATAATAGCGTTTCCTTATGTGGCAAGTGCAATTCCCTTGGATTATTTTACAATAAAACATTATTACGTTAGTGTTAAAAAAATGTAAAAAAATAAAAGAACAAAAATATATAGCATGTCTTTGTTTGTTTTAGGGTGTTCTGCCTAGTTTCAGGTTTTTTACCATTTCTTTGTGGTTTAAAATTGTTAAAGTTTTTACCGAAGTCTTCTGCCTCGGAAGTTTATTAAATATTCGAACAGAAGGGACTGGATGATAGTATAACACATCCATACTTCAACATACGGACAACGAGCTTCAATTCCATTACCATTGGCATGTCTGTATATAAAATGCGTATCTGCCATTTCTGCATTGTAGTGCTACTAAATAACAACACAAGCAACAAGCAAGTCGTAAAAATCAAAGTATTAGGAACACCTGAACATTAATAATGAATTTACTTGTACAGAAAACAACAGTACTTTTATTAATTGAAACAAAAACAAGTTTTTTTCATAACACATACACATGATAGAGTTAATTTGTGTTTTGGTGGAATTTAAAGGTAGCTACTTTGCTTGAGGTACAGATCAAATTTATTAAGAAAATGGTCAGATCTGCTATCTCAGATGCAAGCTTATTGGTGTCAGAATGTACACTGTTTTATAATTTTATCTAAATTCTAGGAAAACTGTTCGAAAAAACTTTATTTGGTAGTTAGGTGTAATGAAAAACATATAGATCTCGAAAGTTTTTATAGTATTTGCCAAATTAGTGGCAAATGAATTATAAATAATCATAATTAATTATACAGGGTGTCCCATCAGGAATCGTTATTATCTATATTTCAGAAAGTACTGATCCGATCAATCTGAAAATTTAGCAACCTAGCAAAGGCAGTAGGGTCAATACAGCTAAAATATTTAGAACTTTATGGCACTTCCGGTTATACAGGAAGCTGACATTAACTTTCTTATTTTAAATGGAACACCCTATATATTATTGCATTTTCGGATTCTACTTGGAGTTTGAGGGTCACTTTATTAAATATTCCCTATAGATGCTGAAATATTAATTTTTGAAGAAAAAATTTGACAGATGCAAGGGTCAGCGGAGATGCTAGTAACTCTTTTCAGGAGCGTGATATCAAGGGGATTTTTGGTACCTGTAAAGGGCATAGGTAACACTAAATTATGGTATACCAACAAATTAAAACATTTAATACTAGGTGTTTCATTTCCGCCGTTACATTTTGATAACTATAACTTTGTTAACTTAAATGAAACACCCTGTATTTTTTTACCTCGTATGCAAATTGAAATTTCCTTTCGAGCCATATAAGCATTGTTAGAGTTGCCATACTACTTTTAGAGACATTTCCAATTTTCTATTTTTTTTTGGACAGTTTTTCACGTATTAGACCTGTTATCTGATTGGCCATGACCAGAAACACTCCAAAAACAATTAAGATCAGATTTATCGGATCAGTACTTTCCCAGATATCAATAGCGGCGATCCTGGTGGGACACCCTGTACATAATTAGTTCTAATTTATTAATTTATAGCCATCTCAAACCTACTTCGATATCAGTTTCCATTACTGAAGGTAGGCACTAGTTCCTGCTTTCTTATTAAAAAAAAAAACTATCCAAGCTCACGCTTTCAGACAAAGGTCGACAGTTCGTTAAATTGTTTCAGTTTTTCGTCAAGTTACGTTAAAACAATGTTGCGTTCTCTAACATTGTACAATCGATCCGTTCTCTAATTAGACAGAGGTTTATGTTGCAATTTGTTATATTTTTTTTTAGAACTAATTGTTGAAATTTGCATCTCGCGGCGGGTGGTCGACTGCCAAGTGTATATTTATTTAATCATAATTATTTTAAACAAGTGTGAAATCAAACCAGAACAATGTTGTTACGGAAAATGTAATTTATTTAAATAACAGTCTTGTGAGGGTTACGCCACTGCAAACAAAAAAATGTACCTTAGTTATTTTATTCAGTAATTGCAAAATTAATTCGTAGAAATTTAAAGTAAAATTACACAATATGGCTAATGTACACTCAAATTTTCACCACCTATATTGTAAAACCCCACATCTGATGCTTCTTTGTTTGGTGAATTTTGCAAAAAAATTTTCAATAATTGTGATTAATTCATGTGTTAATAGTCGTTGTCGAAATTCGTCATTTGCTTCGTTTTAAAGAACATTTATTTCAGAGTAAGTGTGTATTCCATAAAATTACTCTATACAGGGTGTTTCTGGAATAAGAACATTTCTTCAAAGAGTTTTCATTTTCAAGAGTGTTGAAATTAGAATAATATAGTATATAATCTGAAATATCTCTGAGGATAATTAATGTAGACTGATAAAACTTGGACCACTGATTTGTCTATGTGCAAGTAAAAACCTAAGTTTACTTACAAATATATTAATCAGCGCAGGAGAGAGGAGGATTCAATGCCACTAGGAACGCAAAAATTTTTCTCACCAAATGCAGTTCCAAGGAAAAAGATCTCTTACGTGTTGTTCGAAGAACGAGTCGTTTTAGAGATCTGATTTTTTTAGATTAAAGCAAATCGAAATTAACATTAAACACTCAGAACACTGAGACCTCTTTTATGCACGCGTTTTTCTCCTCTCAACGCGAAATTGAGAAAAACGCGGCATATTTCTGCTCCATTTTATGCACGCGTATTCTATCAGTTGTCGCCAGTTTCATGCCACACAGTAGTCAGTGAAGTACATGAAAATGGATCCGTGTATATTGTATTTGTGCTATGAAAAAATATGTAATAGAAAACGTAAGAGGCGATGGGCAGTACATCCAGTTAATAGAAATAGAATTCAATTGCGTCCATTGCATCCATGTCCCGCTTGATCAATAGCTAAACTAAAACTAAAATAAACTGTGCTAAAACTATTCTTGACAGACAGAGCCACTGGACTTGCGACAAAAAGCGCTTTGCATAAAAACGCCGATATACTTTCGTGCTTTTTCGGAACGCGTGTCGCCAAGCGTTCTGTAAATCCATCGCGACAGAATTGAAAACGCGAGAGCAAATAAACGAGCGTAAAATGCATAAACGTAGTAACTCTATTCAGGGTATCTTGAAACGCGGCGTTTTTGTCAACTCCGCGTTGAGAGGAGAAAAACGCATGCATAAAAGAGGTCTATTGGCGTCAAATATCCACAGAGATTCTCGATTTGGTTTTTCTAATGAAATCTTGTATCTGCGGAAATGTAAGTTTCACTTATAAAATTGTTGTTGTACTCACACTGAAAATTTCACTCACTCTTTTGTGGATAGAAGTGCAATTTGTGTAAAATTTCTGTCAATATGATTTAGAATACAACATGAAATAAACTTTGTATGCGAAGCGCAAATGGCTCCATTTGTTTCCAGTTGTTTCTCGCAACACTGGCAATTAAAAACATGAAATAAACTGACTTGAACTGACTGTATAGTCTTTCCGATCTCAATTGAAGAGCCAAGAGGTTGGCAGTATGTACCAGGTTCGGTCGCTGACGCAGCAACTCGGCATTGAATTATTTGAAAAACTTGTACCCATATTTATTTAGCCATACCCATATACAGGTCTGGTCGCCCAGTTGAAGTGCGCGCGCAGGCAAACGGCAAACAAACACAGCTGGACTGGGCGACCGGCCATAAATTTCAGTTGTAGATAATTGTCTAGCAGTGCAGTGTAGCAATGCGGAATTTGGTGTGATTTAGGTAATTCTAATTTATTATAGGCACCTTCTATTAGTCATTCATATTACAACATCGAAAGGGAGAAGAGGGATATTTTGTTTACTAATATTATTACAAAATGGCCCATTGGAGACCTTTTGAAACGGAACAAAACGAAATTTACCATCAATGTAATAAAATTGTTTGAGGACATAAATAATTAAAATATGTTGTTGGCCAAATAAACATATAATAGAAATTTTCTACACATTATATCTATACTTACAAATTATTATAATTTTTTACCTTTAGCACAAAATTTTTTTAGGGACGCCTATGAAACTCATTAAATTGTATTGCTAGGCGTTTTTATACATGTTCAACTGATTTCGGAAAGACTGTAACTGCATTTTTCGTGCCGCGGCATTTCTTCCGCCCAAACAAACGAACCCAGCAAAAATTCGGCCTACCTTGATGGTGCGAGCTGATCACGGCCGCCTTGTTCCCGCTCAGATAGTCCTCCTTGCAGATGAATTTGTTGTCGTCCAGCACGTAGAGCTCTTCGCCCGTCGAGAGCTGCTTCCTGCACACCAGGCAGGTGAAGCAATTGAGATGGAACACTTTGTCTTTGGCTTTCCTCACTAAGTCACTGGGCGAGATGCCCTGACCGCAGCCGCCACACTTCGTGCCATATCTCCTGAAACGAAACAATTGAATTGTGTCAGAAAAATATGGATCTGGTCGCGGCGTGTCGGTTTGGCGATTTGCGGTGGACGGGGCCGCTCGAAGAAGTGGGTTTCTGGGGTTGTTTTTTTTTGTTATGTCCTCACGGGGACGGCAATGGAAATTAATAAATGGTGGAAAGTAAGGCGTCGAGTCCGTAGCAGTTTAATGTAAAATGCTTTCTAATTTGTCGTTTATCAGGTCAAACACCATAAGAAATTTTTAAAGATACAAAAAGATTAATAATCAAAGGTCAACAAGGGTTAAGAAGCAGACATACTAATATGCATTCTCGAAGGATTTTGGTGCGCTGAATCCGAATCTGGCCGCAGAATTGCTCTGTCACGTCAGGTTTTTGAGATAACCTAACCTAAAAGTGCAAAAAACACTGTTTTTCGTAGTATTTGAGGTTATGTAGTAATACCATCTATTCTTTTTTAAAAAAAATACATATTTAAAAGTACAATGCTCCCTCTTTCGAATGCCATTGATTTTGCTCAAATATCTTTTTTTTTTCGTTGAGATATCGCATGTTGAAATTTCTAAGTTTATCAGTTTCATAATATGCGAACAGTTGATTGCAGTTCAGAAACTTCATACTCAGAAACCTTCAATACATACGAACTCAAACTCACAAACCCCAAATCCAAAAACCCACAAACCCCAAACCCACAATCCCTAAACCCACAAACTCCAATCTCACAAAACCCAAAATTTCAAACTCCAAGCTTACAAACACCGAGCCCACCAACTCCAAACCCACAAACCGTATGGGTATGAAGTTTCTGAATTACAATCGGCTGCTTGACGTCTAAGGGATCCTTAGTAGATTTTCGCATATTAAGAAACTGAGAAACTTAAAAATTTTAACATGTGATATCTCAACGAAAAAAAAAAAAAAGATATTTGAGCAAACTCAACGGCATTCGAAGGAAGGAGCCTTATACTTTTAGATTCAATGCACTAGTTTTTTGAAAAAAAAAAGATGACATTACTATATAACCTCAAATATGACGAAAAACAGTGTTTTTTGCACTTTTAGGTCAGGATATCTCAAAAACCTGATAGATAGATGATAGAGCAATTGTGTTGCCAGATTCGGATTCTGCGCACCTAAATCCTTCGGAAATATATTTTCAAGTTTCTGCTTCCAAAAAAAAGTAAAATTTTGTTGGTCTGTGTAATTGCTACCTATTTTGTTTTATTTGTGAACAATAGACACTAGAAATCATGGTTTATTGGAAAACCATTTGGAAAATTGATGATTTTTTTCTTCTACATTTACATTTAATACAGTTTTCTGTACAGGGTACAAGTTGGGATGATTTCAGAAATTTAAAAAAATCATAACAAGCAGAAAATTAATGAATTTTGTATATATTTTTTTCAATCTACTCTAAAAAATGTAAACTCTCTTTTAAGAGAAGTAGATATATTTTTAATTGTTAGGTAATAAAAAAAGTTATAATAATTTCAATTTTTTAATCGTTATTTTTTTATTTAAAACTAAAACAATTTTTTTCTGTCATTCGATTGATTATTTAAAATAATGAAAAGTTGCTTTCGAAATTTTGGTTTAAGACAAAGACAAAAAATCACGTTCGCTTTGTGAAGTTAGGAATTAAAACTTTTTTATTAAAAATTAAAAAATGTATTTATTTCTCTGTAAAGATAGTTTACATTTTTTAGACTAGATTGAAAAAAAAATTATAAAATTCATTTATTTTTCTGCTTATGATTTTTTAAATTTCTGAAATCGTCCCTTAACTTCAAGTCTGCCTAACTCTGTTAATTTTAATAGTACAAGAAAAAGTCAATATAACATTTTTATGTAGAATTTTATGCTCTACATCTTTTATAAGAAACTTTTTTTAAAAGCATGTGGGTTTTGAACTACCCATTGATGCATGCATGTTATGGTAATTAAAAACACCATTCCTTGTAAATAAAGCTTCGTCAGTAAATATTTTTGTAGCAGTATTCTTCTGCGAAATCTTACTCGTAAAAGATAATCTCCTGGTAAAAGCTTTTGAATTCTTGCGAAATGATATGCAAGAAATCCATTTTTCTGTAAAATTCGTGATATTTTCGATCGCGATAATCGTAATTGACGCGATATTTCTCTGATGCTTTTGCTAGGATTTCCTTCAAAGAAATCCAAAATGTTCTTGTCCAACAGTTATTCTATTTCCTTCCCGTATTTCTAGTAAATTTTTTAAATGATCCTTGACTGGGCACCTTTGCGAATGTCCGAGTGTATGGAATTCGGCGGTTGGAAAATGTTTGCCTGAACAATATCCGAGCAATATCATATCAAATGCATATCTGCATATTCGAGATTGCTAAAAACGTTCTGCATTTTATTAACAACGGTACCTAATTATTAGATTAGGCATAATTCGTTTAGGTTGAAGCAGTATGAAACTGTCAATAAAACTCCACTACAATTAAACATTAAAATGACACACGCCTCCTATGTGTTATTATTTATTGTACTTTCCAGTTTGAAAGGGTGGTAATTTTACTCAGAAAGTATTAATTTTTTTGGAAAAATTGAAAGAGCTAGAAAAGTTTCTAAATTCATAGAGCCACAAAACCGTAATTTTAATTTTGATCCATAGCCATCTAGAAAAAAGTTCTGACTAAAACATCAGGAAGGATTGTTTGTTTCAACCACTTCGAAGTGAAGGGTGCAAATAAAAATTTATTGCTAAAACGTACTTCTATCAGTAGAACATACGTAGAAAATTTCAAAATTTTATGTTAAGCCGTTTTTGAACAAAAATGAAAACCGAATTTTTGGTTTAACCCACAAACGCGAATATCTCTGTAGGGTGGGCTCAAATCGAAAAAAAATATATTCAATATTTACGTGGAATTACGGGACACCCTGTATACTTTACAGAGGCTTTATAAACAAACAGACTGTATTGTATACTCATGGCAGCAATTTATCTAATTTTGGTTCGATAATTTTATGTTTTACAAAGAATATGGCGCTTTTCAGTAACTTATATTCAGGCTTTTCTCTACGCGTTTGTGTTGTGGGCAGATTTCAGTTCTGAACCGAGTTCCATATAGATATCCATCGACGAAACATCTTCATTTAACCAGACCCGACTCTTATACGCCGTCTCCCCCATTTTAATCGAGAGATCAAAACGGCAAAAAGTAAAACCGCTGATAATGCGAGTGTGCGGGCCCTGATAAAAGTGCACTCTCATTTATTTATGGTAATCGGTGCTGGGCGTTTAAGTCTCCCCAACGATTCCGCAATATGAATTCAAAAGGACCCTCGCCGATCCCCAGACTATCATCATATCGTGGCAATTATCTTAGTTAAACACAATCGCCCTCTCTGGTATTCCCACCGCTTAAGCGGTCTTTCTGTCGTTCCTCTCGCGGTTTCTTTCACCTCAGACGTCGCCGGCCCGTTAGAAAAGTTCAAATTAGGTACGTGATCTGACTAAGAAGTCATTGTGTTTGATACTTTCAAACCGAATCCATACATTAGCGTTGTTATAATAATTAATTGAAAAGTAAGACTAGTTATCTTCAACATTTTCTGAATATATTGGGTTGATGTATAAATGCGCAGCGTTTTTGGTTTCTTTCGCAAAAATGCCTTTGAAATCAATTGCCAGGCATATATTAAATATGTTTTATCCAACACTTGTATATAATGATACTATAATTTCTTTCGTTTTAAAGGAAAAATGTGGCCAATAAGTCAATAGTGAGTTATAAGTCATAAGTCACTAGTAAGTTATGACTTATAACCCACTAGTGACTTATAGAAATCGTAAAAAGACAAATGTTTGGTTTATTTTTCTAGTTTTTATAGAAACCCAATTTGAAACAGTAATAAGTCAACAAATAACCTAAAATGCTACAAACTTACAATCTACCTACTTATTAATATTAACATTAACATTTATGGCAAAGCCGTAATTTGATGCCAAACGATTATTGGAATCATTTTGTGATTGTGGTAGATTTATAGAACAGGTTATCCCTCTGCTTGTGCTTGCTTCAGGAGTCTGTACCCCTTGTATCCTTTCAACAATATCAATTTTGCTGGAAACTGACCCTTCTATATAACCTTCTGCCACGGTAGGTGACTTCCATCCACCGTGGCGTTTGAGTGTTGTAATATCCCCTCCAGTATTGGCCAAGAGAGTTGAAGATGCGCAAGACGCAAGCCATATATGCTTAGATGGGTCAATTCCTCGCAACGGCAAGCGACAAAAACTCCTAATATCAACGCCACGTAAAAAAACTAATTTAATAAATATAACTCAGTTAAACCACAGACAATATAGCGTATCCGCTACAGACTGCTACTTAAATGCTGGAAATTGGCAACCCGAAATGGAAGCAGGGTCTCCTTAGCCGGCTTCCAGCTATAAAATTTAGCGTGGTAACTCTTCTACTTGCTAATAGGCGGCAGTTCCAGCGGTGGCTTTGTTGCCAAATAATAACTGCTAAATAAATTTAATGCTTTCAATTATGTAATTAAAGAGATATGGAATTTAACTTGTGTTTGGAAATCACATTTGCCTTAAATGTTAAATAAAATATATCAAGTTAAAATTAAAACTATGAATTTACCTAATTAATTATTTATTTTATATCACCTTGGAATGGGAAAATTCAAAAACTCGAAAGTAATGTTTTTAGATTTGTGCGTCGACTTCCAATATGGTACGATATCAAAACCTATGTTTAAAAAAATTGCATTATACAGATTGTGTATCCTTAGATGGGTACTGCCTCTTATTGTTGATTTCTTTAGATAGGTAAATAATTATTTATTGACACAAGTGTTGCATATTATGGATGTCATTGGTAGTGCCCATATTTGTGACACAAGGTGTTCAAAAAAATTAACACAATGTAAAATTGCTGGAACCTCAAGGAGTAGTTGAATACGAAATTTATTTAAAAAAAAACAACAAATCATCAATCAATACA